AAAGAAAAAAATATATTATTCTTGTTTAACAATTGATGGATTATTTTTTTTATATGTGTATATCCATTTAAATTCAATGAAGATCATAGTACAAAAACGTTCAATGAGATAAAAATTTAAATGTTACATCATTTTGAAATTTACAAAAGACGTCAGATGGATACTAATCATCGTTTTTTATATACACGTACACACGTTTATATATTTATCTATATAGAAAAAAGAAGAAGAAGAAAAGGTACAAAAGCTATGTACGCATATAGTACTCATACGTGGGTAGATTGTCACGAACGCTCACTATTCCTCTTTCGTTTTTTTTATCCTCTTCACACTCGATTGCGTGATCAGTAAAATAACCTGACTTATATCATCCCTTCACCTGTGCACGATCGTTAATGATGATATTTTGCTTATAAGCATACGTTGACAAACGCAGACAACGTATATCCATCCCAAATACTACGTAATTATATAAAAATGAATAATAGACATGTCGAATATTCCTTGTTGTCATGGTAGTTATTCGTTAATATGGAATAATTTCTATTTTGAATTTTAATTTATTTATTTTAATCCATATATGATAAATCTAAAATTTTACATATTTATTTTTATGTATTTTTTTTAAAGCGACATCTATAATAATGAATTAATATCGTTTATTTTAATTCGATTTATTTTAATAAATATTAATTGAATTGTACTTGGTTATTTTTCCATGGATTTTTAAAAATTAATAGTCTTGAATGCTGAGAAATTGCTATAACTGGTCTGAGTAAAAAGAGGATCTGTCTCAAGAGGCATGAAGAACTAAATCATGGCTATTGACAATTTTTTTTTGTCGTCATGCTTGTTTTGTTTTAGTTGTTTCAATGAAAAGAAAAAATTAATCTTTTTTTCATGATAAAAATTCTATTTCACTTATTTTTTTCTTCTAGATCTATTTTTTCCCTTATCTTTTTCTCATATACACATATGTAAATCATTGCTATGGAACAGTGCACTATTCTTACCTGTCAATGTTATGTATTATTATCATCATTATCTTCTATTCTATTTTATTGAAGAAATGTTTCTTAATTCAATGTCTGAACCAGATAAAACAGGTGAATTTTTACATAGAATTATCTTTTGATATTAATTGTATTCTTTTTTAGATGGTAAAAATACTTCCGATCTTGAAGATACAGTTCGGAATCTTCGAGAAGAAAATGCTAAACTTCTACAATTACTTCGTTCTCGTACGTACATTTATATTTATATATATTTTATAATTTCAAAAAAAATATTTTTGTTATTGTTTAGAAGGACTTTTACTTGATTCACCAATAAATCAAAATGGAAAATCTAATGAATCATCAAATCAACAACAGCAACAACAACAAGATTCAACAAATATTATATTTGATCATTCCGATTTAACTCTAACCAATAATTCAATAACAACAACAAATCAAATCAATCATCAACATACACATAATCATGGACCTACAAATCAACAAAATTATAATGAACAAACTATACATGGTAATCAATCGAATATCACACCTAATTTTAATACAGTTATTCAAACAACAACACAACCATTTGTACAAAATAATTCCAATACACTTGTACAAAATAATACAAATTTAATTCAACCAATTAATTTAGTCAATTTTAATAATGTTAGTTTAGATTCTATACAATCATTTTTTGCTTCACAAAATAGTGTTGTTTATTTACCTCAATCATCATCATCGACAACAACAACAACAACGACGACGACAACGACAACAACAACGTTATCATCATCATCATCTTCAACGAGTTCAAATATGAATGATTTAACAACTGAACAACATCAGATATCAATAAGACCAAAATCATCATTAATACATCAAAATCAAGAATTAGTACCTGTTATACCAAAAATAAAAACTGAACAATATGAAAATATGACAAGACAGTCGTCATTATCAACAAATAATGATACAACAAATTTACTTGATAATGATTCAAATCAAAAATATCCAAGACCAATTCGTCCGAGACCATCATCAAGAACGAATTCATCACGAGTAAGAATTATTATGAAATCGAAATTTATTTAAATTATAAATTTCATTTAGGTTTACAATTCAGTTGTTACCAGCGAAAGTATATCATCAACAACGAATACTCTTCGACCATCATCACCATTTATTAATACAAATTCTCCAACAATTTCTTTATTTTCTTCACCTACATATTCATCTTCACCATCAACAGCAAATTATTTATCACAATCATCATCAATTGATCATCAGATAGATATTCCTACACAACTAATGCATTCAAAATCATCAGATTTATCAGTTCCATCTACAAATAATATTTTAACATCATCATCAAGTATAACTATAAATAAAAAATCAAATAAAAATCGTCTACGCAATCGTAAAAAAACATCTACATCATCTTCATCAACAACCAGTTCACCACTTATTCCTTCTGTTGTTGCTAATCCCACTCGACCATTAGTACCTACTCTATCTAATACTCAACGTACTGTGACTTCAAATAATCCTATAGCAAAACGATCAACAACAAATAAAAAACCAACAAAACGAAATCCTAAAACATTAACACAAAATCATAGTGAAAATGTTTCACAAATAAATCTTTCTTCACCACCGAATATATTTACTGAATCTATAAATGGTTTATTAGAAAATTTTGATCCAGAATTAATTGCATCGAATTTTCTTTCACAAACAACAACTAGTAATCTTCTATGTAATGAAAATTCTTCTAATCGTGCATTAGAAAAAATTGATTTACGACATCTTGTTAATGGTGCAATACAACATCAAGAACCTTCATTTCAATCAACAACAACAGCAACAACATCATCAATGCCAACACTTGATGAATTTAATGATCGACTTGAAAATGAAATACATGATTATAATGAACATATAACATCATTTATGAGTGAAGAAGATATGAGACTTGTTGAAATGAATTTTGATGAAAATACATTTTTAAAACAATTTGATTTAGAAGATGCTGGAATTAAATTAAGTGTTCATACAGATCAAAATCTTTTTGCAAATATTTTAACAGGTAATAATACTGAACAATCAACAACACATCAAAATTCATCATCATCATCATCATTACCACCTCCTTCGGCATATCCAGGTTCATCATTAATCAATAATAATGTTTTTACAACTGTTGTTCCACTCGGGTTACAACACCAACAAACATTACAAACAAATACACTGATTAATAATAAAAATAAGAATACCGATAATAATAATACGACAACAATAACACCAATCACAACAACAGCGATTTTATTACCAGAAGAAGGAGTTCAATTGACGTAAGAAAACTTTTTTTTGCAAAGATTTTCAATTAAAATGAAATTACTATTTATATTACTCTTCTAATTGATTGAGAGTTACCCGTAAAGCTACATGATCAGAATTAAGATTTTTTCAATACTGTACCGATTATTGATAAAAACTAGTTTTCTATAATCAAAAAAGAAAGCTTAATATTCAAATCTAACTTATATAAAATACTCAGATTCCTTTCAATAACGGACAAGATATGAATAACTACAAACTATTTTCGTTAATTTCGTTGTAAATCTAAACATTTATATGTAAGCCAAATTTCCTAATATGTTTTTTTGTTGTTTAGTGCTCGTCATATTGAACCAAGTCAAGTAGCAACTTATGAATCTGCAAAATATCAAGATATTCTCGATGATTTAGTTATGGTAACTGATCAAGATGCATTACGTCATGCTCAAGCAGCTGCTGAAGATGATCCATCTATTATATCAACTGATTTTTCATTTGCATTACTTGAAGCAACTAATGAAATAATAAAAAATACAAATTTACAAATTGTTCAAGAACAAACATCATCATCAACAACAACATTTAATGAATTACAATATTTTTATCCTATTGCACAAGCACAAGAATTAGGAAATTGTCAAGAAAAACAATCAGATATAATTTCTAATCAACAACCAATTGTTATCTTAGAAAAGTTACAATCACAAATCTTAACATCAACAAATTTAAATAATAATAATCTTTTGGATAATTCTGTAATAAATACATCTATAACTGATTTATCATCATTATTACAATTTGAAACAATAGATTCGCCACTTTGTCAAGATATATTAATAAATCCATTACGTTCAAATAAAAAATCTATTAATGATAATCATCCAATTGATTTTGATTCACTTTTACCACCCTTAAAATCACCAAATTGTTATTCAACAACTGTCTCAGATATATTACCATTATCATCAAAAGATAATTCGAAAACTTCTACTATTTCTCAACCTACGTCATCCTTACCATCGAAAACATCTGAGAAAGAATTGATAATCGATTCAGGTTGTTTAAATCAATTAAATCATGACAAAACAACATCAGTTAGTTATGATGCTAATGATATTGAAGATTTATTACGAGATACAATAAAAACTGATCAATATGAAATAATAGAAAATCAAGGTCAAACATTTATTAAAACTGATCTTGTTATTGATAATGTAGATCAATTAATTGAACAAATTGAACCATCAATAACAAAAATAAATTCGAGAGTATTTGCACATACATTTTATCGTTATCAACAAAAATATCATTTAAATCTTCAACATAAACATAATATACAGTTAAAACAATCCTATGAACAGTCATTAATTATTTCACCAGTTAAATTAAAACTTAATTCAATTTGTAAAGATAAACCTTCATCATCATCATCACAAGATAGTGAACGTCCATCATTAAAAATAAAAATACGTACAAGATTACCAACAAGTATATCTTCAGATGAGAATAAAAAAATTAAAAAGAAAAAATCTCATCATCATCACCATCATTATCATCAACAGAAAAAGAAAAAAACTCATACAGATCAATCAGAAACTGAATCTGCTGGTTTAACACGTTTTGAACAACCTCTAGCTCAATTATATCATCAACAATCTCCTCCGATATCAATTGAAACTCATTTGAAAAATGAAACTCATTCTCTATCTCCAATACAAAATGAATCTCAACCAACAACAACAACAACAACAACTCTTCATTCAGGTTTTATTATTGATGAACAAGTATCTCCATCTAGTATTACATCTATTGAACAAAGACAAAGTTCACCACCATTATTATTAGATAATCAAAATACAGATGATAAATTAAAATTAAATTATTCACATTTATTTAATTATGATAATAATCATGATCATCAAAATAATAATACATTCATAACACCACCACCGGAAATTGATCTAAATCCTCAACAAAGAACAAATTCTTATGACAGTTTTTGTCAATTTTCGAATAATTCAAATAATAAAAAGAAACGTCGCAATCAAAGAAATTCAAGTGTAACAAGTAGTTCAAGTAGTAAATCATTACCAAATGTAGATTATGCTATTGATACAGAAGCACTTGAACCTGTATCACCAACACCATTATCAACATCAAAACAGAAACAAAATTCATCAACAACGGATTATAATGATATATCACCACCATATTTTGAACATCAACAACAAAAACAATCGAAAGATCATCATTCTAAAAAATCTTCAGCTCATTCATCAAATCGATCATCTAGAACAGCAGCAGCAGCAGCATCATCATCATCACAGTTTTATCAACAATCACGTTCATTATCAAATCATAATTATAGAACATCTCAAGAACCACCATTATTACCACCTATATTACCTCCGCCTCATCCACCAATACATCTTGATCCATATGCACAATCTTATCATCATTTTGCTCCAAGAACAGCACCACCTCCACCTCCACCTTTTTTTAATTTTCCATTTCCACATCCATTTCTCAATTCACATACAACAGCACCACCACATTTTCATCATCATTCAATGAAATATCATCATCCACATCCTCATTCTCATCATCATCATCAATCTCATGCATATCCTACACATCAACAACCATATTCTTATCATCCACATTTGCAACGACATCAACAATATAATACTTCCAATTATATGTGTAAGCTAATAGTTTTATTAAATTTTTATGATAAAGTAAAACAAAGTAGAATGAGAATAATTTTATATTACTAACAGTCTTTTCTTAATACTATTTATATTAGACACTTCAGGCCATTATGAACATAATAATAAAATGAATACTTATATAATACTTGATGTTTGTGATCATATAAACGTTAATGAAAGTATGAAGATTTATTCTTGATTCAAACGAGAATAATTGAAAATTTAATTACTTTTTTTGTAATTTACTATTATAGAATAATAGATTCAAATTTATCTTTCTAACACTAATGATTCATGACCTGATTATATTTAAAGTGACGACTCCTATGAAAATGTACCACAGAGCTCAACATCATGTAGAGGCATATACAAAAAAATCCATGTTATTATATTTTCTAGAGGATGATGGAGAAACTATCAAAAATTCAATTAAAATGTATATTTATTCGAAACCATAGATAAGTTTTGAATTAACATACTGTTTATTTGGTAAATTGAAGTGACTCATAGAAATCCTAAAAAATACATCATATCTAAGATTTCACTGCAAACATATTGATACTACCTATATTCAACAAAACCCTATACATTTTTTTCAGCTTTCTATTTACATAAATTACTTGACATTGAATTTACGAAAGTTGATTTATTCATATTCACTAGTTAAATCATATATTTATAGATAATTTTGATATACTATTGTTCGTTTTAAAAGTTAATAGTATACGATCACAAACATCATAGTATTATCTTATTGATAATATAGCAAAATAGTTTACTTTTATAAAAACTAGTCTATTTCATAAAATGTATGTTTCTCTTTTTTTTTGTTTTAGCTTCTCGTGATCATCATGCATTCGATAGATAGCATTTTCTTACTTCTCATTTTTATTTCTGCCTATATATTTTCAAATATAAAAACAAGCAAATCGTCGACTTAACAATCGATATGAGCAGATATTTCTTAGTGTCTATCTATTCCAGTGATTTTTCTGTTTCTTTTTTTGTCTATTTCAAATATGTGTATACGTATTAATAATGAATCACAAGTGTTTTCTATCAATTGCCACAATGAACAAATATTTCAAAAAGAAACGAAATATTCTGTCACTTTTTCTTTGCATTTTTCTTTTCTTTTCTTAATACTTGATTATAAAGAAAGTATTTTTTTTTGTTTCGTTCCCAAAACAACGATGACAATATAAGTGTTTTGTACAGTTAAGATATTCTATTTGGTTATTAATACACATATGTTAAAAAGTATTTCTGATCTCTATTCATTTTTTCTCTTTCTCATGTGTAATTACTGTGTTTCTTTTTGTTTTTTTTAGTCTTGTTTAAAATCAAAGAGCTTACGTGCTAGTCTCCCATATCTTCCTATTGTATACACATAAATACAGATTTTGCCTTTTTTTTAATTTGAATTAAATGTGTCCTACAGTGCCTCCTATTTGTTGTGCTACCAGACTAGCCGTTTGCTTTCTTTTACCACTTGAACGATGAATCTCAGTATGCATGTGTATTGATACGTATGAAGGACGATGATGACGACATATGAAAAGACAAACCTTCCGAATCGAGTTGTCTTATTGTTCTACTTCTTATATTTGTACAAAAATAATATTGTTTTCTTTTTTTTCTTTTGGAAAATCTATACAATGTTGTTTTTCTTTTCTCTCTTACCCTAAGTGTGCTTTTTCTATTCGAAATTGTTCACTTTAGACAACTTTTTTTTCTTTTTTTTCCTTTGTTCAATCTGTGTGTGTGTGTGTGTCAAGCCGTTCGGCTTAAAAATAACAATATCTCAATTTGGACAAATCAATATAAAAGAAAAAAAGTATTAAATAAAGATAAATTTTAAAAAAAATATTTTTTCTAATGATGATTATTACGCAAAGTATCAAACAAAATGAATTGACGTTCTCGGGGAATAGAAAACTAATTGAGATCGAATAAAGTCATTCTTTAGTGTATGTCATTTATACATAATAATAACCATCACTCTTTCTTGATAAATGCTGAAATGTAAAGTAGCGACATCTCTTCGACTGTGTTTTTATTAAAAATAAATAGAAAATAAATCGTCTATATTTTGTTATTTTATGAATGAAATAAAATATTGTAGATAAAATTAATGGAAATTTTTAGAAAACAAGAGCAAACAAAGAGGTTGTTTTGGCTCCAAAGAAAAGATGGCTTAAAAAATGTGTCACATTTAAACGGGCATCTTTAAGGTTTTTATTACTTTTTTTCATCGTTGCGAATTTCAATGTCTTCTCTCGAAGTTCCTGCTGTCACATCGGCTTCTACTACAGTACGTTTTTTTCCTCCATTCATATATACTAAAGGTAACATTTTTAAAAAAATATCTATTTTTAGGAACGTTCAGTTGCTACTTCCATTCGACCTCGAGGTAATTAAACTAAACCATATTGATTCAATCGCATTAACTAATGAAATAATCTATAATTTCAGTTTTTCATATTGTTTCACCATTAACGGGTTCGAAAGCAACAATTATTACAACTGATACAACATCTTCACCTAATCATGCACCTGTATTCATTCAAGCAGCACCTCGAATTGTAAATAAATTGTTATCTTTTCAATTAATTTTATTATTCTATTTTCTTTAGAATCGTTCCTCAATCAATTCAAATTCGAATTCACGTAAACGTATTTATCCATTTACTCAAGAAACTGATACAAATACTTAGTAAAAAACATTCAACAAAACTTGGAGATTTTTATCTATTTTCTTTCTAGTCTATCAACATTAGCTGCTCATCGTCATCGTGAACGTTTATCTAAAGGTTTAAGATATTTTTCAAAAAAAGTTTGTAATAAAGTTCAAGCAAAAAAGATTACATCCTATAATGAGGTTGCTACAGAACTTGTTGGTGAATATACAATTGAAGAAAAACGTAGTATACAATTACCAGAAAATGAATTGGTAAGAACGAGAAAAAAAACAAACAGAACAATCTTAACTTATCTATTTTCAAAGGCTTATGAACAAAAAAATATTCGACGAAGAGTTTATGATGCAATAAATGTATTATTAGCAATGAATATTATTGTAAAAGATAAAAAAGATATTCGTTGGGTTGGTTTTCCTGTTAATGCACTTTTTGAATGTGAACTTATTGATGTAAGTTTATTTTTCTTTCGTATTTTCCTCTATTTTCTTGTTTTGTTTTTAATAGAAAAAAATTATTGAAATTAAAGAAACAATACAAGATAAAGTTCGATTAGTTGAAGAAGCTTTATTAAAAGTAAATTCGAAGAAAAATAAATTTTTATATAATTTAATTTACTTTTAGCAAGTAGCTTTACGAAATTTAATTCGTCGTAATCAACAACGTAAACAAATGATACAAATGAATAATATGTGTTCGTTACCTTTTTATGCATTTGGAACATCCAATGGCGTTGCAATTGAAAGTGCATTTTCATCTGATGGGTATAAAAAGAAAAGGAAATAAAAAATTAGAGTTTTTTTTTTCTTTTTTTTGTTAGTCGAGATACAATTGTAACATTTGATCGTCGAGTTAAAATTATTAATGAAACTGATTGTTTACATAAACTTGGTTTATCAAAAGAACTTCGAGGAGGAATGAAATCACAATATGATATTGAACAAGCACGAGCACTTTTACCTGAAGCATTTAGTGATTTTGCTACAGGTTAATTTTTCCAATTATTTTGAAAGACATGAGAGAAATTGATATTTTTTCTTATAGAAATGGCAATGTCAGGTTCATTAAAAACATTATTCGACAATCAAACATCATCGAATGTAAAAAAAGGAAAAACAACAACAACGACAACAACACCTGTTGTTTTTGTTCCACCGTCGTATTTTAAAATTGATGGTAAATTTCCTTTAGAAACCATATGATCCATGAGAACATATCTTTAATTGTTGAATAGCGTTCGGTCTCATACTTTATCTACTAATCGAAGTTAACCCTCGTACGTTGTTCTCATTATACTACATAATAGCAACTTAAAATTAAGTCTGATTTAAGCCGAGCGTAAACGAATCGAGGTTTAGATCATGATTAAATGATTTAAGAAAACGTCGTACGAGGGTTAATATAATTAAAAAAATTATAACAAGACTTATGATTATTTTACTGAGTGTTCATTTTAATTGTGTATGCGCTGATGAAAATGATGTTGAAAGATAGATTTGATAGTCTTTATAATATCCGAAAGACTTTAGTTAATTTCTTACAAATAGATTTTATATGTTTAGATGAACCTCAAGAAATGGAATATGAAGAAGAAACATTCGATGATGATGATGATGTTCTTTCCATATCAACTGATGATGATGAAACTACTCAACCATCTTCATCTATGAATTAAATCTTTTCTTTTTTTTTATTTTCATAACCTATTTCAATTTATTAAAGAACAAAAAAAATGAATAAGAGAAAACAACACAGACAGCAATGATATGTGAATATATGTGGTTTTTTTTGTTTCTTTTTAATCTGTTGATTCTGTTTTTTTTGTTGTTGTTATTATTATTGTATTATTAAATTAATTATTTCATTTCAATGATAATTAAGAAAAGAATTAAAATATTAAATAAGCAAATTGATTTCAATGAACATGAAGATTTGTCCGCTAAGACTGTTAATGACGGTGATGAAGGACCATGAAGAACACATCGTTCTAAAATAAAAACAATAGAAAATTTGTTTGTTTTTTGTCATTCTTTTTTTACCGAATTCTTCTAATAGAATTGGTATATAATGTTCCCAAAACGAACAATAATCTGCACGATGAGCAATACCAGTTGATTTATTAACGATATCAAGTACAATGTGTTCACGTTCAGGATAAACATAAAGTGGCCAATCACCAACTGTTGTACTCGAAACACCATTTGGATTTCTATTCATAGAAAAAAAAATCCTATGAAATCTTTTCTATTCTTTTTTTTCTTCTTACCCAAATTTAGAAAAATTTGACCAATAAGACATAACTCTTCGTGCTAATTGTATTTCATCATATTTATATAATCTAGTATCAGTTGCATTTAAAGGTTCACCAAAAACAAACATTATCTCATCACTAATTAGAATTATGAAAATAGCAAAGATAAAAAGAAAATATATTAAATTTCTTACGCATGCATAACACCTGTCCATGTATGCCAATCACTAACTGATGGTCTAGCAACAAAATGATAAAAATAAACTGGTACATGTTGATTTGCATATGCATTAGCAACAGCAACTGTTGGACATGTAAAATGTGCATCACCAACTGCATGACTTAATATAACAGCATTACGAATATTATTTGACCAATCAGTCCAATCAGTATATTTATGAATTAACGATTGTAAAATAATACGCGGTGTTTTAAATGGATAAGATGGAATATATGTATAATAAAGTTCAAGATGTTTTAAAAATGTTGCATATGATACATCAGGCATAGCATTTCCTGGAGTTTTATCATTACCTTGAGCATAAACCATAAAATAGGAGCCTTCATCACGATTGGCACCTAATAGAAGAGGACATTTCTAAAATAAAATATCTTTCAATATAAATTCATATAATAGAAAAATAATTTTATACTTTAAAATTTCCTGTTTTAAGCATTGTTACAGGATTATCTGGTAAGAATGTTCCATCAATAACGGGCATAAGAAGAAAAAACATTGGACCACCATCAACAATAGTATATTCAGCATTTGTTATATAACTATAATGTTCTTCATCCATAATTGGATAATTAGCTGCACATTCAAACATAACTTCGATATTTTTCACATTTTCACCTCGTTGACATATTTCAGGAATTTTTTCACGTTCATGACGAAATTCTTCATTATATAAACGTTTTGTAACAAGAGAATAAAATTCAAAAAGATATTTATGTGAACGTCGACGTGCTTCATGTGCTGTTATAAATGCCCAATTACATGTTGGCCCACCACTTTGTAAAATAGCATTAGAAAATAATGATCGACTACGTGGTGATAACAAATGAAAACCAACAGCGACAGCACCAGCTGATTCACCAAATAATGTTATACGTTGACTATCACCACCAAAATAACCAATATTATGATGAATCCATTCTAAAGCAAGAACTTGATCGTATAAACCTTGATTACCTAGAAAAAAAAGAAAATCCTGAAAATTCTTCTTTATTTTTTGTTAGAAATTATTTCAAACCAGGTGCATCCGGTCTATCAAGAAATAAAAATCCAAGACTTTGTAAACGATATTGCATAGAAACAACAATAACATCATTTGTTGCTGCTAATATTTTTCCATCATAAATATCTAATGTACTTGAACCAGTTACAAATGCACCACCATATATCCAAACAAGTACAGACATTGATGATACTGATGTATTACTAACTGGTACCCAAATATTTAAATATAAACAATCTTCACTACAATTTGTATTTGGTGACCATATTTTTTCTGATTCAAGATTATATATAATTTGTTCTGTTTGCCAACATGTTGGCGGTAGATTTGTTGCATCAAGTATTCCAGACCATGGTTGAACACGTTCTGGTGCTTTAAAACGACGTGAACCTATTGGAGGTTTAGCAAATGGAATACCAAGCCATGTACGAACATGTTGAAGATTTGGTGAATCTGATATACGAAAATATGTATCAAAACCACGTACACGACCAGAATTTGTTGAACGAATAAGTGGATCTTTGGATGTATGAAGGGAAGAGGAGAAATTAAAAGTGATCATTATTAAAATGAATATAATTTGAATAAACATGATTAGCGATATTCAAAATCATATCGTTAGTAGTCGACATTTGTCGTTGTCTTATTCGAAAACGAATCATTGAACGACAATTTCATCGACGGTTTGCTTCAATATTATATAAATAGTGAATGTTATATAATTTAAAGATTATTTGTAATGGAATAATACAATTAGAAAATCGTGATGATAATATTACTTGTCGAAGATGTTGCGGCGGTTGTGATAGTTTTGTTAATATATAAGCATAACAATATTTGTTATACATTGATATTGATGTTGATGATTACACATCGATAATGTCTGACGATGTTGACAATAAATGACAGATGAGCAACAAACAGAAAGTGAAAGAAGCGGAAACCACTCTTTTTTTTATAATAATGATCGTCAAAACTTGTTGATGACCTTAACCAATGTTGACACTTTACCCTGGAGAGAAAACGAGAATATCTTCCCTTTTTCTCTCTCTCTCTCTCTCTCTTTATAATGTAGCTAAGTAAATGTGAAATTGACTAATTTATTTCCTTAAATTATTTCATTCACGTAAATCTAAAGTAACAAAAGAAAATGTGTGAAAAACTCTATTCTACTAGAAAATATTTGTGTTTCAATTTATTAATAAAAAAAAAATGTTAAGAAAGGGAGAGGGAGAGGTAGAGAGAGAGAGAGAGAAAGGACAAAGACAATGTCACTACGGTAGCAGTAACAATAGTAGCAAAGAGAACATAAGCAAGGAAACGGAATTGAATAAAAGTGACTCTTTCCGCGGTTTGGTAAGAGCAAATAATAAGAGACTTCGTTTCTTATTCTTTCTATCTTTTTTTCTTTAAGCGCTTCTACTTATAATCAATTATACACCTCGACATCAACACTTACATTTACAAGATATATGAAACGAGGAGTTTCGGAAAAGTTTTCTTTTTCTGATATAAGAAAAATAAAGACAAACGAGAGAAGAGAAGAAAAAGAAAAGAAAGAAATCATTGTTATAGAAGATTTTCCTTTCTCTCTTTTAATGTTTCTTAATATATAGTGTCAAATTTTAAATCATTTAAGAAGAATTACAATCATTCGAGCAACATCCTTATGTCTCAATACGTTTTCTTTTTCTTCTTTTGTCTTTACTAACAGTCATGCAGACTAACTTCTCATTGCTGCTGCTGCTGCTGCTGATGAAACGATGATGATATTTCCTTTATTCGAAGCAAGAAAGTTTTCTTTTCTCTTACTCTTCTTTTTTTTATCTTTGTCGTCGTCGTCTTTTTTTCTAGTTGATTGCATTTCTCTTCGTTTCTTATATGATTTGTTGTTACGCTCGTGTTCATTCTGTAGTCAACTCGTCTCACTAGATTTTATTATTGACAAAAAAAAAACCGAGGCTTTCAATTTGTCACTCTCTACTTACTACTGATTGTCACATACATATAAAAAGAAATCCAAGATTGAATATGAGTGAGTGAATATTGCTCAACGAAAAAGAAAAAATATACGTGTACATAGTTATTATTATTCTAGACTATGATCAGAAAAAAACCCCATCTTGCTCCTATCAACTGATTGTCTTCTCAAAAAAAAAGAAAAAAGATTTTATCAAAAAATAAAAGAAACAAAAATAAGGGTAGTTATTATTATCGCAAGGTTTCAAATGCATGACATTGACTAACATACATCCGGCAAGAATATTATTTAACGTATGAATGTTAACAGAACGACAATTATGAATTATAAGAAAACGTAACGATTTTCTAAATCTCTCAAATCAAATTGATTGAATTTGTTTTGCAGGGAGGAGGAAAAAGAAATAAGAAAATTACTATGTATTATCATAATGACAATCATCATTCCTATATATATATTTACATTTTGTTTTGTCAATAGGAAAGATTCTATTTTGTCGATAGATGACTTTTTTCTTTTTTGCTTCTTCTTAGTAAGCATATTAATCGTCTGGATTTAATGTTTAGAATACACTAGAAAAATAATCACTCGTATGAATGATTAAATTTATAAGATAATTCAATATTGTTACTTTTTCCTATTGTAAGAAAGAAGAAAAAAAGTTATTATATAAGATCGATTTTTGGTCAAAGTCAAATGTAATTTAATATGCTCGATGTTTAATATAAAGATTTTCACCGATGAAATAAATATATATAGAGATATGATTCTGAATAATAAGAAATAGAATCTTTCATTTTCTATTATTAAGCTAGCGTGACACTAAATGAGATAAATTTGCTTAAGGCGACCTTTTTTTTTATTCTTGAGATAGCAAAAGCTGATACTAGATTTATTCAAATGAAAAGAATAAAATTAATTTTTTTAATTAAAAATATTGTAATTTAATACTTCAAATCAATATTGATATTTTTATTGCTAAAAACAAAAACAAGAAATATTCCATGCGAGATTTATTCTATTCAATAAAAATAGTATTATCACTAATGAATAAGATGATAACTAAAGTCGGATTATAATAACATTGATTTTCGTATATCATAACTATTTATATATTGATTTGTAGAATAACCAAATATAGCATAGTCTGATGTTCAATCCGATTCTACATAATAAAAAACTCATTAAAATATAAGCAAATTTACGATAGTCTGATTACTTATATAACAATAATTAAAGAAAATACTCGAAAACATCCCGAATGGCTTCAGACTTATTATTCTCTACTACACTATTCATTTATCTAATGCACTTAATATTTAAATATGACATACACTTTCTTTTCTATTTCATATTGTTAAGATAGTTGATTTAATCAATAATATCACTTTCGATGAATATTCAAATTACTTTTACATTCTCATGACATTCATGTTTTCATGACATTTGCTTAATAAATATGTTCGACCTTCTTTGACATTTTATATTATATTTGGGTGGAATGCGGTAGAATTATTTTTATCAAGAAATCTTTAGAAAATAGATAAGCCGATGATAAAAGTTCATTTGAAAGTTTCTGCAAACTCGATATTTTAAATATTACCTCAAGTCACATTTAACTTATTCCAAGTATAGAAAGCTAAAATATCATCGGAATTACCGATGAATCTTTATTTTCGTTTTTTCGATTCAAAAAAACTTGTTGCATTTAGTATTGGAATGATATGTGTCTTTTTATAATTAACTCAAATAAATGTTTTTCATTGTGTATTGAAATTCAAATTGAGAATAGTCCCAATAGAAAGAATAGAATGTCAAAAGAATAATAATGTCATTACTTTCTAGTAATATGAATCAATCGAGACAATAATTGACACTTATTGACATCAAAAGAATGGGTTCAAATATCTAAATGGTTCTTATTCGTTTTGATAGGAAAAAACAAATGAATTAACTGACGAGAAAAAGCCCTCCAGATGTTCAAGTTGTTTAGACTCTGTCTTCTGGCCATGAGTAGGCCTCAATGAAATATGATTATTCTACTCGATCTTCGGTCTCAAGGACGCGATATGTCGATAAAAAATCAAATGAACGAATTTCACCCATAAATGCATTTAATGATGTCTAGAATATTTCTAAAATTACAGTCCAACCGAATGCTTTCTCAAGAAACTATCAGCTTTTCAGTAAATTGCTCATATTTTGACAACATATTTTAAAATTGAGATTTTTTAAAAAACGGCATATCTGGCAAATAAAACATTCATTTTGACTGAAAGCTTAGAAATATTCTAGGCCTCATTGCGGTCTACTAGTGACTAAAAGATGGAATACAGACGTTGTGAACAGCTGGCGATCTTCCGTTGTGAGTTTTAATTGAACTTTTTCGAGTTCTTTTAAATCTTGTTATTAATTGAGGGATATTCAATTTTGATTTATCCATTATATTTTCATTTCACCATTAAATTCAGTCGACATTTTGAATTAAAAAAATAAATAATATTATTTAAATTTATTTCAATAACAAGTACTTATTCAGAAGAATAAATTATACTATTTTTTCTCATTAAAATTCATTTCACCAGACGAGGTTGAAGGGTAAGTATTAATAAATTCAAATAAATATTTTTCTATTATTAACTAAAAGTAAAAAAATCACACGCTCTTATTTTGACTTTTATTGGAATTCTAAAAATAGGTACTCGGACAAAATGTTGATGAGTTCTTAACCAAGATAGCTCGAGACCTATGATCTTCACTATTACTCTTGAATAATAAAGATTACAAGGTCTCCAGTTATCTCGGTTAAAAATTTATAAACATTTGAAAATTAATTATTTATTAGAATAAATCAAACTTTTTTAAATATATGAAAATGAAAAAACACTTTTTTTTTGATTGTCGTCGTCTTCTCTTCCACAGAAAAGAGAAAACGAAGTTTTTTTCTTTTTCGTTTGATTAATAACATTTGTATATAAGCAAAAAGGTGAGAAGGAATTTAATAAACATTTCTATTCAATTAATTAAATCAATGGAACAATCAAAAAATACGAATGTTCCTGAATCAAATGTTTTTCAAGCAATACAAAAAAATAAAATAATTCAAGGTCAATTAATTGATCGTCAACGTTTATATGATATACAATTAGTAAAAGATATGAAAGATTATGATATAGAAGAAAAATATAATCGAGATTTATTATACACATGGAAAAAAGAAACTTATTTACGACAATTAAAAAAAAGTTTACAAGAATATGAGTATAACAAAACAAATATTACCGACGCATTTTATGAATATCAAGTGAGAAATTTAGATCATATTACATCGAATCGACCAGGTCTTATTATACCACCGAGAGAAGAAGAACGTCGTTTAAATATTAAAATAAGATATGAAGAATTTCTTCAAAAAAATCCTATTCAAACTTTATCATCAGTTCCTATCGATAAAACAACAAATAATATTCCTAAACAAAATCAAAATCAACAAGATGAAGATGAAATCGCTCGTAATTTAGAACAAACTTGGAAACATATTCAAACACAAACTGCTAATGTATCAACAGAAAAACAAAATCTTGATTCATCTACTCTTCATCGTTCATTAACACTGAATGATATTCGAAGAAATAAAACAAATCCAATTCGATCAATGACTGCATCGAATGTACTTGGTAGAACAACTTCAAATATCGATAATTTAATATCAAATGAAAAATCTCAACAATCACTAATTAGACCACGATCAAATCATTTCGAATCACATGATAAAATTGAATCATTATCTATCGCACCGAACGTATTAAACAAATATACTCATTCTGATCTTTATACAATACGTAGTATACGTCGACCAAAACAAAATCCAATAGATTTAAGTTACATCTATGAAACACGTCGACGTATTTGTCAAATAAATAAACGTAGTATAGATTGGCAAATATTAAAGAAAAAATGTTATAATAATTAATTCGAAAAAAAAATCAAAACATTTCATTAGATTTTTATTTTATAATTGAATAGAAAAATACCTAGCAACATTTTAATACAATTTTGTCAATTGACCCTGTATATATTTTGTCCTTGTAAATGTCCTTAAGTGAAATATATATGAACAAAGAATAAATATATAACACAATGCATGTATTTTTAACTTTCGATAAAATAAATATTGTAATAAAAAATTTCTCAAGCAGTTTAATATTGGATTAGATATTTTTAAAGTTTATAGTTATCACTAAAGATTATTTTTCTTGTTCAATACTAAATAATAACCGTTACCATCGTACCACTATTTGGGTATATATCAGAACCTTACTAGGTTTACCATTACCTTTTCATAGTGTTAATTAGATGAACAATACAAATGATTTCATGGTTAAGAATTTTATTATTTAAAAAAATCTATTACAAAAAAACATAAAATCTATTTAGATATATGAATAGAAAAATATTTTTTAGAAATGAGTTATTTCCGATTCACTGCCTGCGTTTGATAAGTCATCATCGAGTTTTACCGCTAATGATGGTATATTTCTGGAAGAAAAAAAACAATCAGTAAATAACTGTCTTAATTCATTACATACCTCATTTCAAATAATTGTTGTTGAATTTCTTTAGCTCGTACATCATCAATTGAATAAAAATATAAACATATTGTTGATAGAACCATTATAATTCCTGGAACTGCTCCCATTAATAATCTTAATGTTAATTCAACCGATTCTGGTTGGTGATCACAAAGTTTAGCGTCAAAACCACTAACACTAAAAATTCAAATGTATTATAAATTAAAACAAATTATAATTCAATAAAGTTTACGAAAGTGCTAATTGAACAAGACCAGCATATAATGCTTGCGCAAGTTTAGCACCAAGAAAAAACAATGTATAAAAAATTTCTACCGGTCTTCGACCTGTTTCGAGCATAAATGAATCAATACACTCTGGTAACATTGCCCTAAATGTAATTATCGTTTTAATTCAAGAGATTTAATAAAAAAAAGTTTTATAAACCATGGCATAACATAACCACAAGCAACTGTATTTGCACCGAAAATAGCTGCAACAAATAAAAGAGCCATTGGAGATTGACTAATTAATATAATAATTACTGCTGGTAATAGACACTAGTTTAAAAAAGTATTATTTATTGAAATATCAACAAATTAAACTATACCAAATTTCCAATGAGAAAACTTTTTTTCTTTCCAATTTTACGCATTACTATTGACCAAACAAATAGAAGAATCATTGTTGATATCTATGAGTAAAGATATATATATGTACAAAGAAAATTTAAAAGTAAATACTAACAATTAATGATCCAGCAAGAAATGGAAATATTGTACGATTTTTTTTCACATGATTTAAATATAATTCAAGAACACTTTGAATTGACTATAGAATAAAATAAACTAGGAAAAATCTTTATCAAACAAATAAATGATTATATTTATAAACACCTGAGTAGCAAGAATAGATGCAACAGTTGCTGCTGTTAAAATTAAAAATGGTTTATAACGCAGAATCATTTTAAAACCTTGTATAAAACTCGTTTCACTTGTTGGTATAACATCTAGAATTTTATTATTTCTAAAAATTGATTTTTGTCTCAATATTAATTTAACTTACCAACAATTTCGCGAACATTATAAAATAAAAATATAGATGTTAAAATACAAAGTAAAGCTACAACACCAGCTGAAGTCATATATGCACCTGCCTAAATTTTATTTAGAAAAATAAATAGAATATATAGGAAATAAATAGAAAATTAATTTTAATCATTACCACATTAGCTTCTACACCAGTTGGTATTACATCAGTTAAATTAGATGAAATAGTGTCGTTCAAACATATTTCTCTTGTTACACCGAAGGCAGCTGTAACACCCCAATGAAAAGCAATTGAAAGTAAAAGACCACCAGCTTCGAATAAAGTTCCTATATAACAAATCAAAATTTAAAGTAATATAGATAACATATATTTATATACGATATTTTGTTAGTTGATCTCGTTCAGTTTGATCTAATGTTAAATAAACGGTGAGAGCTGTATGTGGAATACGTGATGCCTAGATTAATTTTACATTTTTATTACAGAATATTATTTCCATATGACTTACAGTCATGAATGTCCATAATAAAGAATGAGCTGCAAAATAATAGGCAAATTTACCACCTTCTGATATGTTTGGAAGACACCATAAGGCAAAGTAACAGAGTGCAACAAAAGGTGATGAAAAAAGTATCCTAAAAGTAATATTGAATGTTTTTTTCTGTTATTTAGTTATTACAAAAATCTCATTGATTATCATATGTTTAATTAAATAGAAATATAAAGAAGGAAAAAAATGACATGATTTAATGACCTACATTTCAGCTTAGATAACCTACTTTTAAGTTACTCAATAGTCAGCTATATACATACCAAGGTCTCATTTTTCCCCATCTGAATGAAAATCTACTAAAAAGGTAACCACCAATAGGATCCGTTAAACCATCAATAAGACGACTAGTAAATAAAATAACTGCATTATATATTGGTGATACCTAAAATAGTCATTTGATAGAAATTTGAATAAAAAAAATTTATCTAACTTTAGCAACATCTAGAAGAAAATAGTTTATATAAAAAGCGATGATTGATAATTGCATAGAATATGGTAAACCAACAGAAGCATATGCCAATTTTGTTAAAACTGAAAGTTTATCTGATGAACTTGCTTCACTTGGTTCGACTATCAACTGATCATCCTTATCAAAGTCGTACTGATCAATATCACCATTAGTTTCATTAGTTTCATTAATTGTATAAACTGGTGGTGGTGAATCACGTCGATTTTTCTAACAAAAAAAAATTATTTTAAATTTCAATGAAACTAAATTTTACAATATTCTTACCGTACGCGACATAACTCTTTTTCTTCTGTCGTTAACGTTTATTAATAATAAAACATACGAAAAATTCTATATATCAAACAACTTTTCTTTTTTTCTTTTGTTATCTTCTAAAGTAAATTATGTTATTTCTGTTCTTCGTTTTTATTTAACTAAATGTGTCGTATGATATAATTGTCATTGTTAGAATCATATGAGTAGTAAAAAAGAAAATAACCTTAGTTTTAATACAATCTTGTAAAAGAAACTATTTTTAAGTATAAAACTTTTGATAAGACATATGAAAATATATATATGATCAATCTTTTGAGCAACGATTTAGTCGTTCAACAAAATATTGCAGTTTTGTATTTGTTTAGAATTTAAGACACTAATGAAATTTATTTGAGTAATCTGATAATGTTGAGCATGTGGATGGCAGTGGAGATCTAAATGGTAGATGAATATATGGTTATAGACGTGTGAGTTGGCCGTAGAAAAGCCAAAATGAAAAATGTCCAAAAGAAAAATATCGGAGGGGAAAAATACCGTAAATTTCAACTAATAAGACATTGTTTCTTAACGCTCTTGAATGCGGATTATGAACTTCAAATAATTGTGTCGTCGGAATGTTTTGTGTACCAGCACGACGTTCTTTATTAAATGTACTATCATTTGGTAATACAACTATTGCTGCAGGTGATAACATTACTTTTGCACATTTGTCCTCATCGATACGTGGGATAAGTATTGTCTTATGTCTCACTTGTCGCCTCTTTTTTTCACAAAATTCACGCAATCTATGGTTTATTCAATTTGAAACTCATCATCGTTAATACTGATTATTGTTTCAAATGAGTAGAATAATGAGAAAGTCAACAATAAAGGGTTAGAGTCGATGTTAACAGAACATACCATTTTTTTAAATATTTTCTGATTTCGACAATGTTCCTTTTTTATGTTTATTCGTGTTACATTTTTCCTTTTGGCCTTTCTACGGTACACCGATAAATATATCAGTTTTGTTCGACACAATAACATAAACAAATTATTAGAATAATGATGTTTAATTTTTTTTGCCATCTGTCTTCAACGAAAAAAAAAAACATTACAATCATGCAATTTGCCTATATTAGTTTTAAAGTATTTCGTTGTTTTTTATTTTAAAAAGAAAAGAAGCATGAATATTGATTCCAATCCATTTTTTAGCTCGATATCCTAATTTATTTGCATGTTCTTCATTTTCTATTCCTTTTTCCATATATTTTATTAATATTAAATTTGATTTAGTTGCTATTTCAATAATATCTTCAATAGAATGATCAAATGATACTCCACATAATTTTTGACCAGTTGTTTTATCAATAAAACTTGCTTGTGAACCAGCTTGATACATATTTGGATGCATAGCAGTAATAAAAGCCCAACTATGATTATTTTTTTTTAATAATCTATATATAATTTTGAAAAATTCATTAAGTGAAACAATATGTTCGAGAACAAGAGTACTAATAATTGCATCGATTGATGAATCATCGATTGATAATTCATTAGCACTATTAAGATCATGAATCATCCATGAAATTGATGAATTTTGTTGTTGTTGTTGAAATTGTTTTACACGTTGTTGAGCTTTTGTTATCATCGATGTTGATACATCAAGAGCAATCTTATAAAAATAAAATATATAATGACATATTTCAAAATTCTAGAATATTCTTTCAATCATTAAAAAATAATCTTCTATCGAGAGAAAATATTATTTATTATAATATATTTTATTATACTAATAAACATGACATAGAAAAGTATTAAAGATTTCTTTTCTTTTTGTATTCATGTCGTCAACTCACTGACATTATAGTAGGAAGTGTTATTATTCACAGGAAATGTTTCAAGTATCGACAAATAGCGTATAACTTGGCAATGTTCTCAAAAAACGTTTTCTGAATAGAATCGGACTTGAAGTACATTGAATTCTGATTTATCATGGATTATTTATTGAATAGATCAATCTAATCTTCTATTCATATTCTAGTTAAATACGTCATTTAAACATGATTTTACCTTGAATATTAATTATTCTATGGGAAATTATCCCAGTAGTTACGTGCAATGTCTTTCCGTATCAAAACACAAGTTGAATGTACTTTCTTTTTCTTCCCGCCCCTTTAACCTCTGCAAGATTGATGAAAACATACTTAGTATTAATATTAAAGAAAAAAAGAGAAAAATGCATGCATTAGATCTCTCATGAAATACTACAAAAAACAAGATTAACATTTTACAAGTCAATCAAAAGAGAAAATAAAATTAATTTCATCGAATATATTCTCTGTCAAGCTAATAGTTAGTATATCGTAACATTTACAGATTTCTACTTGATTTGAATTACTAGATTGAAACGACGTCATAATAACTTAATATGTCTGACAATATAGAAATTTAAGTTCTGTATTTATTCAATTTATGGTAGAATCGAGACAAGTTGAAGTTTTTTTTTATATATAATTACAATTAAATAAATTGAAATACATTTAAGCCTACTTATAGATAGAGAAGAATTTTTTATTTTCAAGGATATTCCTTATATATACATTTTAGAAAAGTACTTCTCAAATCATTTCTCTTCTATAAGCATCATAAACACGTGAAAAAATAACTTAAGTAAGTAAATATTACTTGTTGTTAAAATAAACGGACTATATTCATATTTTTATTTATTAGAAAACTTACAATAGACCATCCAGCATTTAATATTTTTATTGTATTACGTCCTGTACCACATCCTAATTCACAACAAATTGGTATTGTACTATTTTGATAATTGTCGTTAAGATAAGGTTGAACGATTTCATTAAATGCATCGTCATCAAGAAGTTGTAAAATATTTCCATCAGAATCATAAGTATTTGACCAAGCATTATAGCATTCAACAGTTGATAACATTATTTTCATATTACTAGTTAACGTCATTTGTTTTTTCTTTCGTTTATATTAATAGTGACGAAAGTTAAAATAGATGTCTTACGATAGATAAGAAATAAAGAAAAAGTCCAATGCGAAATGATCGACATGTGTAATTTCTATTCGTTCTATATTAGTAAATCAATATTTGTGAAAGTTTAAACTATTTTTATTCGATTGAAATTATATAGAAAAAAAACTGAATATTTATGTTTCTATGTCAGATGAAAGAAATATATAATTATTAATACTAAGTAATTGATACAGTAGTTGTTTTTGTTTTGTTTTCTCTGAAATTAAATATCGTACAGATGGCATAGGAAGTCACATTTTGAGTATTTTCTTTGAATATATAAGTGCAAAGGAAACATGACTTTAGTTTTGACAACAACAAATCTTTTCATTGTCCTATATAATCTTTTATTTCTTTCAATCTCAAGCATGATATTTTAAAATGATTATATTAAAGCTAATAAGATAGATAACAAGTAGGTAGTAATCAATATTATTAAATAGTTCAATAGAAGATTCTATGTATCAGCTATACTATTTTTTTTGGTAGTTTTCAGAGTAATGTTTATATGTTTACGATAAAAAATATCGATACATGTAGTTAGTTTGCTTATGGCGGTCTTTAATATTAATAGTTCTATAAAGACGATAAGGACCATTATATTTCTACAGTCAAATTGTTACATATTTAATGCTTTAGAAAAGATTTTTTCTTTCAACCAAGAAAAAAAAATAGAACTAGAATATATATATATATATATCAATGATTCTAAAATAATAATGAGACAATATTACTGTAACTTATCAGATAATGAAATCGTATATGAAGTATAATTAAGAAGTTGGCATGACATAACGTTAGAAATAAGGCTTATTTTGTTTAATATGATGCGAGAAGAAGTCAATAATCTACTTTAGAAATATAAATGAATAATATTTCTAAAAAATTTCAGTATAAAACTTTTATAAAATCTCATACTCATTTGTATGTTTTATTTTTGCACTCATATGAATATATTGACTAAGTAATTGAGTATACAAAATTAAAGAAGTTTCTCATATTACTAATTCTACCTTCGACATTTTTTAAATATTAATTGAATCTATTTTTAAATAGCATTTATAAAATTACGGATGAACGATAATAACTAATCATCTTTCTGATTAATATTTCTATCGCATAGAAATTACTTTTTTTTACTTTAGGTTGAAAGAACATCACTTGAAAAATTAATTACATAAAATAGACTCTAAGGTTACATAAAAAGTTTTGATCAAATGCTAGTCTATACAGTAAAAGAGAATAATATATTAAATTTAAATCAGTATAGTTTAATGATTAACTCGTATAGATTTAATATTCTTACCAAAGAGCAATACGATGTCTTAAACAATAAATTAAATATCTAATTTTAGTAAATCCAAAAAAACACTGAAAATTAGAGTGACTTTTTATTATTAGATTCATGATATTCATAGAATTTTATGTCAGACTGATATAAAAAAAGATTTTATTCATAGATTCAATGAAGTCAGAATGATTCATATCATTAATTTATAGATATTTAAGCTAAATATCATTCCGTTGGAAATATGAGCAAATATAATTCTTATTTAAGAAGATAATCTTTATAATTAAGAACTTTCTAGATATTCGAACAAAAATAAAAATAAACATCGAGTTATGAAAAGCTTTTCTCTTTTTAATATTCATATACATTGCGTGTTATTTATATTATAGGCAAAAAAAACCACTGATGATTGTCGTGCTAATTATTGATTATATATTTCAAATATCAAAAGAATAAATAATAATCTTTGACAGTCAGTATTTCAAAACAGATATAATGTAATCAAATAAATAAAAGACTTATTTTTTTCTTCTTCTATATTGACATCGCATAACTTTCTGAGATTTTAAAAAAATGATCATAAATCTCTTATTTGATATTATTTTAATATAAATTCGATCGTTTACATATTATAGAACGAGTACGAATACTTTTTTTTCTAGATGATTCAAAAGATAATAATTACCATGAAGGTTGATTCATCTGAAATGCTATAATCATTAGATTCATAGCGAAAGTGCATTTTTTTATGAATTGTTATATATTTCTTATCTTAATAATCAAGGTATTACATATATGATTTAGTTAAATAGTAAAATGATTAAATATTCATTTGCATAGATGAAAATAGAAAATATTCTCCCTTTTTTTGATAAATTAATAAATAGAATTTCGCACTTTGAAAGTGCTATTTTTCCTATTATTAATAAGTATTGACTAGTCGTAGACATTAGCTTTTATTTTGCTTGTGTCATATTAGTAAATCTTTTTTTTTACATGTTCTATGTGTCAATAGCAAATACAAAGTATCATAAAACCTACTATAGTTTGTCAGGCATTGTCAGTTTTTTTTTGATTGACGGAAAAGCGGTTTATTCTAACGATAATAATATAAATTGTTTTATTTATTTTTCTTTAAAGATAAATACGACAATTGCTTAGATTAATAATGAACTTTTAGGAGAGAAAAAATACTACTCATAATTTGTTAATAAATTCAGTAGCACAGTATATTGTGTAGTGACTATTTTAATTATATTCTATGTCACAAAAATAAAGGAAATACATTTTTTATTCTCTTTTTCTTCTTTTCATATCAAATTACATGACTTCTATTTCTCTTTTTTTATTCAAAAAAGAATGTTCTAATGATGATATAAATCTTCTCGTCTATCATTAATAAATATATTCTTTCAGACAAAAAAAAACAGGTCTAAATATTGTCGCAGGAAATTTACCGTTTAACATCATAATTTGAAGGTCATTTTACATCAGAAAATAATTTAATTAAAATAAGAAATACAGATTGCATATATGAAGTCATATGTTCAATTTGGAAAGAGTAGTATTTCTACTTGAGAATATTCGATCTTAGTTTACATTGCGAGATAGAATTACATTTATTAATAAAATTAATATTCTATCTGATTCGAATCTTAGATTTTTCTTTAACACTATAAAAAACATACTCATTGTTAGAATATAAAGTCATTTGTTCGTTTTTTGCACTAATTGACCTGATCAACTTTATTTTTTGTTTTAGTATATTAAAAGAATATCTTTCGATGTCCTTAATCAATCTAACAAATAATGATACTGCTAATATTTATCCATTATGGTATTTTCTAAATGATTCATTAATGATTATTGGAAATATTATTGGTATATCTGTTGCAATCCTTTTTATATTTACAATTATACGTCTTGATCATCCATCTTATTCAATATCAAATTTAATTGTATGTAATACTAGTTTAGCTATTGGTTTATCTAGTATAATTATGTTAATAAATGCATGTTATGCATTAAAAAGTGATTTTAATGGTACAGGTTATATTGATTCATCTTGTATTTTACGTGGAGCATTTTTAAATATATTCTATATCTATATGTATGCATCATTATGTTTAAAAGCATTTAATCGATGTCGATGTATTGTTTATTATACCAATCCAATATTAACATCCTATCGATGTTTAACAATTATAATTTTATTACAATTGTTATTAGCCGTATGTATAACATTAATCATAGTATTAACAAATGGAATTGATTATGATGTAGGTTCACATTTATGTTTAATAACAATTAAAAAATCTTATCAATTTATATTTACGAGTATGTTTTTTTTCTGTGTGTTATAAAAAAAGAAGAATTTCTTTTTGTATTTAGTGACGATTTATTATATATCGATATTATTTATATCAAGTGTTTATCTTTACATACTTTATTATGTTTCACATCTACCTTTATTAGAACGATGTCGTCGAAAACGTCAATTAGCTCTTCTTCGACGAATACTTATTCTTCTTATTATGCTTATTATACCGGGATTGTTTTCAACATTTTTAATTATACATTGGTTTTTTTTTGGTTCAATTCCATCATATTCATTTAAAATTCGTAGTTTACTTGATACAATTGGATATACAGGTTCGATAATAACAATATTTATATCACATACGAAAATTCGTGATCAATATTATCCTAGAAAAAAATTACCAGTTAATAAACTTGTACTTAAAAAATGCGAATTGATTGTATTAAAAGAACCATTACGTTCACAAAATAAACTTGTCTATATATAATAGTTTATCGTCGACAATCAATTTCATATATATATACATATTTTTTTTCCTTTATGTTTCATAGAATAAAATTTTGTTGTTTGAGAAATATGAAATGATCCTTGAAGATTTTTTTCTCTCTCTCTCTACTGTATCACCGTAAGATATAGTCATATGAAAATATATTTTCATTAGCCTATCAATCAAATACCTATATGTATATGTAACATATTTGATAGTATCAGTTTCTTTAACTTATATCAAACATGAATAGACTGTTTCACAAATTGATAATTATATCCGTGAATACCCGTCACACAAACCAAGGATAGATAAACAAACTAATGCGTAGGCTATATCGTATCATCAATTTTGTTCATTAATATTGAAGGTGAAATATGTTATCATTATTATTCTTTGATATTTGAATATCTTCATTTTCTTTTTTTAAAGATTTTGCTTTTTTGCAAATGAATTAAATTTCTATGGATATTCAAAATCAATAAGATTGATAATGTTTTTTTGCCAATATTATTAATATTTATTATGAAAATAAAGAGCTATAGACATATGGACATTTTTTATAAGATGTCTTTATTTATCATGATAATGTTAGTTGATAGCCTAAAGATATTTGATTGATAAATAATATAGAAAAATAAGGTGATAACGAGTAAAATGCAACGAACATTGGTTAAATTCAAAAGAAAATATACATTTCATATTTTATCTCTATTGATGTTACTTTTTTTCAACAGGTGATTATTTGTCTATGTATACATAGATGTCAAAGTAAATGTAGAAAAACATTTTTTTTTCTTCTTCTTCTTCTTCTTCATCTGGTTTCTCTGTTCTTACATACTCTAGTGGCGTTGATATTTTTGTGGCTATGTATACAGATAGACGACTGTTTATACACCATTACATCCTTGATCGTTCGCTCAGACACGATTCAGTCTTTTTCTCTTCTGTTACTTTTGTACATCAACATGATAAGTAACAACTCTCTATCTATTCCTTCGTTTCTCGTCTTTTTCCTTGACAATTGTCGTATGAGCATAGCCTATCAACACTCGAAGTTCTACTTTATACATATATATCGACAATGATAGTCTTAGGATAAACATAGAAATAAGTATACAACACGACAGACATACCCCCCTCTCTCTCTCTCAGCGTTACATATGTTGTTGTGTTTTTTTTTTCGGTTAGTTTGAATGATATTATGGATGTTTGATTTTCTTGCTTTCTTTTATATATATCGTCAAAATCCTATTTGTACTATATCTTATATCACTAGACGTCATAATAATGATCACAATAATTTATTTGTTTCTATTAAACTTGAGTGTAATAAATATATACACTTCTGTTGTTTTGTGAGAAAAGAAAAAAGAAATGAATGTCGAAATAGGATAGACGTTTGTTAGTTGTTTGAAGGTAAAAAACATGTGCATTTTTCTTTTCAAACAATAATATACCTATTTTTTTTCAATTTTTTCAATAATTTTTCTCTTCTCCCTCTCGTGTTTTAATTTGTTACCTTTTATTAAATAGATGTTTATTTTTCTTTAAGTAGAAATAATTAAAATACGACAAAAAAAATATATAGACATGAATAAAAAAAATCTTGATCAATTTTCTAGATGATGATTGATAAATTTGAAAATAATTATCATTTTAAATTCATCTGTTTTTCAACCTTTTTCATTTATTATGATACGTATATATATACGTCAGTGTTTTCTTCATTGAATGAATATATATATGCATAAATAATAAAAAAAAAAGAAATTTTGATTGAAATATTTTCTAGAGCTTCAATATTGAAAAATCAATTTCTTCTTCTTTTCAACATAGTTTCTTTTTCTAATAACTCAACAGTATTAGTCTTACTCTTTTGTTGACAAATACATATACCAATTTCGTTTTTCTTTTTCTGTTTTTTTAAGAGCATTATCATCAAACATCTGTGATGCTCGTCGTCGTCGATGCTTTATCATG